GCATCGCAACACAGGATTGTGGTATTTAGATGCAGGTGGTCAATTTATAGCCACGATCCTCCATTATATAGCCCCTTGCGGCCCTGCCGTCGGCCGCTAGGTCTTGAGGAAGCATATATATTGATGTCTTTAAGAGCGAATCGGTCTTGAATCGGGGAGCCAAGAAGGATCTGCCCGACCCCCGCTTGGAAATAGGGTACCGGAATTACTCCTTACTTCGGAAAAGATGACTTCGTTGCTGCTTAGCAGCTGCGGCCCTCGGTTCGAACGGAGCGCCAAGTCCCCGGCCAAGACACGGCCTCCCACAAAATTATCACAATTTCGGGTCCTGGGCGATGCTCAAGGAAATTCTTGCATCTGAGTCTCTTGCCGACTTGGAAACATACACGTAAAAATCATGTCCAGGGGCGAAGAAGAGGAGACCTAAGTTTAGGCGGGTTCGTATGCAGTGTTTCCCTTCCCCTCACCTTCCTGTGTTCAGGGATTTTAGCACTTCAACGTGTGTGATGTCGGAGATTACGCCCAAAGAGCAGCTATATCGGGAAGGTTTTTTGGGGGGGGCGCAGCAGCACAAGAGCCGGGCGACAAAGGGGCTCGAATTGAACGCAAGAAGCCAACGAGACCTACTAGTAGACGAAAAAAATCCAAGCCAACCGAACGGAGGCGTCGCAGACGAGCCGTTCATCGAGAGGCGGTGGACGAAAAGGAGGGACAGGAATAGACAGAATCGTTCGGCGCTGATGCTTGCGCATGCATTGTTCGGAGTTGCTTCAAATCAAATGGACGGGGTGGTGCCAGCGCCGGAATCGAGTTGGAACAGTGGGACAGTGATGGATCCGCCGAGAGTGGAGGTGGCATAGTTAAAGATGCCAAACCGATAGCCCATGAAGAATTCCCAGTTCGCACCCATCGTAAAGGACGAGCCAATGGAAATTGGTTCCATCGGTACTGTAGTAGAAGGTCGCCCGCTTTGTGCCATTTGGTTGAACGTCTGCCGTGACACGTAGCCAAATCGATCCCCCATTGACCGAAACGCTTGCGGTGGTACTTCCAGTGCTAGCGGTGCTCCAGTCCGAGTTCATAGTTAGGCCCGTAGTGAAAGCGACCGTGTAGGCACCGCTGTCTCGCTTTACTCCAACCCAAGCAGAGGAGTCGCGAAGTAGAACAAGGCCAGCGCAATCCCCATCGCTCATGTTACTATGGTTTAGCTTGACTGTGGCGGTGGACACGGGCCCAAGAATGCGGTGGGTGATTGTGTTCCGAGCGGCGTAGAGATCGTCCGTCACGGTTGCAGTGTAAAGGGTGAGGCCGCTGCTTCCTGTAGAGAACTTGGAAGTATCTGGGTTGTGGTATCCTTCCCAGTTATGGCCGATAGATGTGAAGTAGTCGGCTCCGGTCGGAGACGCGACGGGCACGGTAGGGAGCGTGCTCGTGTGCGAACTGCCCCATCCACCGCTGACAAGCTGTCAAGTGATCATAGATTAGCAGTGAGAGAAAGAACTGACTGAAGACAAGGATAGGCGTTACTTACATCCACAGTTGGGAAATCGTCGGAACCCCAGGTGATGGAGGCTGGTACGGGGATGCGGCCACCAGGATAAGCATCGATAAAGGCCATGTAATACCATTGACCGTCCGGAGTATCGATGAGCCCGCCTGGTGAGGATTACCAGCGCCCGCAATTGGAGGTGGAGACTAGAGGCGAGAGCATTGATAGTATAACTCCCGAAAACGGTGCTGGATTTCAAAACATATTCGATTGATGCGGGGTGAGTGACGAGGATGTAATACACTCCATTTCGCTTGTAAAATCGTGAGCCTTCGATGTATCCTGATTACGATACGGCCCTCCGGTGAGATTAGATCTAAGGGATATCAAACAACATGGATTGACGCACCGATCTCTGAAGTAGGGCTGTAAACTTGCTAGGAACTGACCTCGCTCTTGACATCTAATGCGAGCTGGGCGGCCCAGATGGCGTTACTGTAGGTGTACGAGATGTGTATAGTTCCATCATCGTCGATAAGTAAGCCGGCATCATAGTAACACTGTGCAACAGTTCATCAGCGTTAGACGCTCAGCACCGGCTATAGGCCCTCGAAGATTTACTTTGCCGATAGTGGTGAGGCGATTCCATAGGCCAGTGGCAGACGGAGCAGAATAGATATAGGTCGTCGAAAAATTGATACATCCTACCCAGTACCAAGTATCCTGGGAGGCATGATAGTCAAAGAACGACGCCCATACTCCCTGGATGTAGGCCTGGTCACCAATCAGATAATAAGAATCCCCGAAGTGCAAAGTAGGAACTGAATGGCCAACGTACTCCCAATCCTGCAAGTCGTATGACCGAAGAATGGGAGCACCTGGAGAAAAGTGCATGGTCGATGCTGATTAATAGTAAGTAGAGCCAACTCGGCGAATGTCGAGGTCCGCCAAGTCCTCCCAGAAGATGGGATTGGTGAAGGTAGTGGCGAATATGGGCACGGTGGTGAGTCCGCCTAAGGTCAAGGTGAGTATTCCTATGGAGTTGATGAAGAACCAAAAGGTCAGGATCGTGTCCCATCAAAAGCGACCAGCCCGAAGAACACACCGAAAGCAAGCATTGGAAGGTGTCGAGAGCTGCTTATGGGCTTGAGTGATCACGCCCAACGACGGCCTCCCTTTATGGGGCACCTTTCACTCTGGCCGGCCAAGTCCACATTTCGAGAGGTGACACGGATGCCCCATCTGCTCTTCCGAGCACCGTCCAATAGCATTGCTTGGAAAATAGTTTTGAGTGTCGGTGGGCATCTAGAAATTATATTCAAGTCTTCGAATGTCGATGGGCCTTGCATCGGAAGAATTGTACGAATGCTTGTTCTTAATGGAACACGGGGAACATTCCCGCATTGTAGTGAAGATGGCTTCGTTGGCTATTAGCGAATGTGTCTGTAGAGTTCGGACGGATTGCTAAGTCTCGGGACCATGGGTACGGGTCGGAGAAGCACTCAGGAGGCTCTCATCATTCCCAATCCGGCTCTAACACCCGCTCATGGTGTGCTTCTAGCCGACATGGGAGCCTCCGTGGAAAGGCAATCGCCAAGGGGTAAAGAAACGACCCCATTTGAGCAATCATAGAGGCTGGGTTTGTGCAGGTCCGTCGGGAAGGCACGATCTGGGCATCGTGGAAGTCGCCAAGTACGCTGCTGTTCTTGTTTGCACCAGATTCTCAAGCTGTGCACCCTATATTAACTAAGGTAGGGTGGGCTTTCAACAAGCCCTTATAGCTCAGTGGTAGAGCGCAGCACTCGTAAAAGCACACCAACGTGCGATATGCTGAGGTCCATAGTTCGATCCTGTGTGGGGGCACAGCTTTTTGACTCCCAAGAGTCTGTTGAGCGATTCGCCGTGAGTTTCCCTGGCACTCTTTTGACACGAACACGCATACAGTATGCTTTCCACTCATTGCTAAACTCAAGTCACGTAAGAAGGCCTGTACAAGTCCCAAAATGCCACAATACAACCAAAAAAGATTGCTACAAGGTCCCAAAACTTGCAACTACAGCTTTAACGACGCTCCGCCCTCCCGTGCTTTGTCCTTCACACTTGCGCTTTTCCCTACATGGGTTTTCCCGACTACGGTAACGCCTTTACCGGTCTTCACGAGGCTCTCCAAGGCCGCATCCTTCGCTTCCTTCACGTTCCTCGGCTGCTTCCCGTTCTTCAAGCCTGCGGCTGCCGTTGCGCTACCTCCGGCGTTATTGCTGAATTTGACGACCGCCCCATTGATCAACTGGCCCTGAGCCTTCCTCTCGTGCTTGACCTTCGTGCGCAGCGCCTTCTTCTCTGCTGGTGACATTTCCGTCTTGGACGTTGTCGCCCGAGGATCGAAGGCGAACATCTCCTCGGGAGCCAAGATTGTGGATGTCGCCACGGAAGATGGTAGAGCGGATTCGAGTGTTGCTGACGCAACGTTGGATAGCGTGCTGATAGTAGCTTTGGGCTGGCGGAAAGAAAGCGGTAAGTTACGTCTCTCTTGTTCGAGAAGCGTTGGCCGACTTTCTTACCTGCTTAGGCGTGAAGTGGGCATTGCAAAGGGCATCAAGTTTATAACATATATCCCCCCAAGTCTTCTCGATTTCTTTATGTTCTTGCGCGAGGCGATCGTCTTTCCGACCTTCACCGGACGCAGCCGCAGTGTACTCATCCTCGTAGATTTCTGCAAGGGACTTCTGCCCCTCTTTGTCCGAAATCTCAAGCACCTTCGATGGCAGGAACGCCTTGTCGTCTACCGGCCGTTGTCGGATGACGTCGTCGAATCGGTTCTAGGTACTTCCCCTCAGCTTCACGGATACGAGAGCCAGCAAGCAGAACAACCTACCTCCAGAATACGAGCCTTGATCATGTCCTCTAGCGACTGAGTGACTTCCTCGGTGATGATGGGCGCCGGTTTCGCGGAAGCCTCGAACTCGAGGTCAGTCTCTAACAAGCTGTTCTCCGGGCGTCGTTTGGCGTTGGCTTCGCCCATCTGCGTCCAATGCTTCTCGGAGACGTTCTGGTCCTCGAGAATGGCGATCTCTTGCGCTATGGCTCGCAAACGCTTTTCGTGGGTCGAAAGCTCTTCGGCTGTGTAAGGGGAAATGAAAAGAATGCGCATTAGGCGGGGAGAGTAGTTGGGGGCAACCTGAGCTCCGAAGACTCACGGGCTCGATAGCCCTCTTCGGGTTCAGCAAAGATATCGTTTTTTAACCGCTCAATAGCCTCCTGTCCTTCGTCCATTTTAAAGTCATCCTCCTCATC